CCCGCCGAGTGGCCCCAGCCTCCCTCATGTGACGCGGGAACAGCTGCGGCCTGAGTCACCGGCCCGCGTGCGGAAGGCCGAGCCCCCAGCCCGGTCGAGGCCACGTGGCCCCTGCCCGTAAGACAGCGCCCACCCCCGCAAAGAGAGGACGCCCAGAGCAGGACCTCGGGGTGCCTGGCGCCCTTCTGGCGCCGCCAGAAGGGGGCCACCTCGGGGTAGGAGAGCGGGATCCGGCGCCGCCTGGTTCTCTCTGGCTCAGGGAAGCGGAGGAGACGTGTGAGAGCCAAAGGAGGGATGAGCGGCCCAACTTTACTCTCTGAGCGCCCGGCCGGGCGGCAGAGCTGAGTCGAGGTGACAAGATGGTCTTCAAGAGGCCTGCATCCTCCACTCAGAGCCCACTCCCTTCCTCTCGCTCCAATTCCATTCCACCCCTTCCCCGAGTCAGCAGAGGGCGCTGCTGGCTCTCTGGAATCGGGTGGGGGCAGAATAAACTTTCAGAAAGTCCCCAGCCTCACATCCTGGGAATCCCCCAGCGTTCTAGAGTGGGTGTTCCTGTCCCTCTGTCTTCTTAGTCCCTTCTCTATTGTCTAGGGCTCCTGAGTAGTGAGCCGAGAAGTGGAGGAAGCCCTTCCTAGCACCATTCCACCCAATCTTGGCACGTCAGAGTCAGGTCCCTCCCTCTGGGAGAGGATTGCTGAGGTCAGCTCCCACCCCTCCTGGATCAGCCCGTTAACGGTAGAGGCGTGGGGAGGACAGTAAGGCGGGCATGGCACGTATCCCCTGGATTTCCCCATTCCATCCTAGCGGACAGCCCAGAGGGCAAGGCCAGGAGAGGACTGGAAGGTGAGGGGGTGGTCTCAAGCTGCCTCCCTCCCTGTGGGCCATGGTGGTCCCCAGAAGGAGCTGTGTGAACAAGCAAAGGACAGAACCAACCACAACACCCCTGCCCCCCTGGCCTGGACCCAACCCCTTAGGTTCTTCTGGTCCTGCCTGAAGAACCGCTTCCTGAGCCTTCAGTATGTGTACACAAGGAAGGAAACTGTAAGAACAGAAGGAAGGAGATCTGGGCTGGGCTGAGGACCAGTTTCCAGGATCACAATCTTCCAGCAAGACACACCAAGCCCCTTCTGGACTTTGCTTCCCAATTATCACGGCAGGCAGGCCATGGAGGAGGAGCAAAGAAGCTGAAGAAAGGAGTTTCATCTGTTTCTGCCAGGCACGTGCTGGGCGCAGGGCCAGTGAGGTGAGGCAATTGGTGGCCCTGTCCTCTGCCAGCAGGCAGAACCGAGTCCACACTGTGAACAGAGGCAGAAACCCCTGGTGGCAACTGGATGAGCTCAGAGGGAGGGACAGGTGGTGCCTCTGCCCCAGAGAAGAAAGAAAAAGAACAGATTTCACAGAGGTGGGTGGTGCGCTCCCAGGTGACCTTAGACAATAAAAGGGTAGTCGCTCCGTTTCCAGGGACAAGGAAAGGGCCAAGTGTAAAAAAGGAGTAGTTTTCAAAGTCCATGGGGACTTCAGTGGTCCAGTGGTTAAGACTCCGAGCTCCCAATGCAGGGGACCCGGGTTCGATCCCTGGTCAGGGAACTAGATCCCACATGCATGCCGCAACTAAGACCCGGCGCAGCCAAGTAAGTAAATAAATATTAAAAAAAAAAAAAAAAAAAGTCCATGACACGTTGGGGTTGGCCAGCTCACAGGGCTGGGGAAGGATGTGGTGACAGGTGGAAGTGGGGGAAGGTGGTCTGAAGTCAAGATGTAGAAACTTTAGCTACCTTACCACCAAGTATAATGCTTGGTCTTTGAATCTTTGCCTGAACAAACTGTCTGTGAAAGACATTTTGGGAACAGCTAGGCAAATCTGAATATAAACTGAGGATTAGACATGAGAAAATAATTTTGTTAGCTGTGATGATAGTATGATTATATAGGAAAATTATTTTTTAAAGCTGCATACTAAAATATTTAAGGGTGAGATGTCCTGTCTGTAATTTATTTTGGAATATTTCATAAAACAATAGATGAAGCAAAAGAGGAAGACAGTCTGGATGACAGGACTGTTGAGAACCTAGTGGCTGTGTGGGGTGTGTTCTAGAGGCAGAGGGGAGAGGGTGGGTGAACTCCCTTGGGATTGGCCCTACCGTGAAAGGAGAGATGAGTGCCTGGAGGGTAGCTGGCACATCATGGTCCAAGGGAGAGCTGATGAAGGCCAGAACCAGGGAAAGGAGGGGAAAATCCTTGGAAAAGCCCTTCAGAGGGAAGATCAAAGAATGGGGTGACTGCTTACCGGTGGGAGCAGGAGAGGAAGTGGGAAGAGTCTGAGATGACTCAGAGTTTCCAAACCTGGGCGCCCAGGGGAGAGGTGGTTGTCACCGAAGGCAGGAGGCACAGGAGAGGCAGCTGGGTGGAGATGTCCCACCTGGAATTGGGGATATGAAACTCGGGAGGGAGGAGTAGTCAGACTGGAGATAAAAAGTGATATCTAGGACTTCCCTGGTGGTGCAGTGGTTAAGAATCCGCCTGCCAATGCAGGGAACACAGGTTCAATCCCTGGCCCGGGAAGATCCCACATGCCGCGGAGCAACTAAGCTGGTGCGCCACAACTACTGAAGCCCGCATGCCTAGAGCCTGTGCTCTGCAACAAGAGAAGCCACCGCATTGAGAAGGCCACGCACCGCAACAAAGAGCAGGCCCTGCTCACAGCAACTAGAGAAAGCCCACACGCAGCAACAAAGACCCGACGCAGACAAAAATAAATAAAATTAAAAAAAATATATATATATATATATATATAAAGTGATATCTAAATCCATAGATGGGTGAAGGCCAGAGCAAGAGAAGAAAACAGAGACAGAGTTTTGGGAAACCCTTATGTTTAAGGAACATGGGGGAGTAAAGGAGCTGAAAGGGAAAGGAAGTTGCAGAGCTGGACCCCTGCACTCTGCCAGGCACTGTGCTGGGCACTTAGAGCCATGAGTTCATTTAATCCTCATGACAACCTGGTGAAGTCCGTATGATTTGTCCTGTTTTAGAGATAAGGAAACTGAGGCTCAGAGACAGGGAGTGATGTGCCCAGAGTCCAAGCAGGTAAAGGGCAGTGTTAGGATTTGAACCCATATCTCTGGAGGTTCCAAAGCCCGTGCTTTTTCCTCTCTCTCTCAGAGGCCAAGAGAAAAGAGAACTCCATGACAGGAGGAGGGGACAGTGGCCAGAAGCGCCAAATAGTGAAGAAAGGTGAGATGCCAAAGAAGGCCATTGGATGAGGTGGCCTTTTCCAGAGCAATGTTAGGGCAGGATCCCAAGCACCTGCTGAGTGGGGAGTGGAGGCTTCCAGGTAGGCAGGGGTGGAGCTGAGGTGAAGGTCAGGAGAATGGGACCCTCCTAGAGGAGCGCCAGGGGAAGGGCAGGGAGCAAACTGTGGCCAGTGCAGCGTACTGCAGCAGCTTGGTCACGCAATGGGAGAGAAAGGATGGGGCCAGGGAAACCCCGGAGAACAGACCTGTGTGGAGCTGGAAGGGAGAGGGCAAGAAAAGTCCATTCCTGGTCACCTTCAAAGAGACAGAGAGTAGTGTGGTGGCTGCCGGGGGCTGGGAGGAATAGGGAGTTATTGTTCCACTGGGTACGCAGTTTCTGTTTAGGAAGATGGAAGAGTTCTGGTGATGGGTGGTAGTGACAGTTGCACAACACATGAATATACTTAGAGCCGCTGAACACTTAAAAAATGGTTAAAATGGTAAATTTTGTGTTATGTATACAAAATGTTTTATTTATTTTTTTACTTTATTTAACACAATTTTGTATTGGAGTATAGTTGACTTACAAAGTTGTGTTAGTTTCTGCTGTGCAGCAAAGTGACTCAGTTACACACGTATATACATTCTTTTTTTATATTCTTTTCCACTATGGTTTATCATAAGATATTGAATGTAGTTCCCTGTGCTATACAGTAGGACCTTGTTGTTTATCCATTCTATATATAAAAGCTTGGGGAATTCCCTGGTGGTCCAGTGGTTAGGACCTTGTGCTTCCACTGCAGGGGCCATGGGTTTGATCCCTGGTCGGGGAAGTAAGATCCCTCATCAAGATCCCTCGATGAGGCCAAAAAAAAAAAAGTGAAACAAAAAAGTTTACATCTGCTAACCCCAACCTCACACTCCATTCCTCCCCCAGCCCCCTCCCCCTTGGCAACCACCAGTCTGTTCTCTATGTCCCTAACACAATTTTTTAAAAGAGAATGGCCTACCCCTCTAGCCTGGGAAGTAGGCATAGAGCCCTGTGTACCTCTGAGTGGGGAGGAGGCTGAC